ACCATCACCTTCATCATCGGCATCCTCTTCATAAACACCACTACCATTACCCCCATCTTCCCCATCATCATCATCACCACCACCATTACCGCCATCTTCACCATCATCATCATCCCCACCATCACCTTCATCATCGGCATCCTCTTCATAAACACCACTACCATTACCCCCATCTTCCCCATCATCATCATCACCACCACCATTACCGCCATCTTCACCATCATCATCATCCCCACCATCACCTTCATCATCGGCATCCTCTTCATAAACACCACTACCATTACCCCCATCTTCCCCATCATCATCATCACCACCACCATTACCGCCATCTTCACCATCATCATCATCCCCACCATCACCTTCATCATCGGCATCCTCTTCATAAACACCACTACCATTACCCCCATCTTCCCCATCATCATCATCACCACCACCATTACCGCCATCTTCACCATCATCATCATCCCCACCATCACCTTCATCATCGGCATCCTCTTCATAAACACCACTACCATTACCCCCATCTTCCCCATCATCATCATCACCACCACCATTACCGCCATCTTCACCATCATCATCATCCCCACCATCACCTTCATCATCGGCATCCTCTTCATAAACACCACTACCATTACCCCCATCTTCCCCATCATCATCATCACCACCACCATTACCGCCATCTTCACCATCATCATCATCCCCACCATCACCTTCATCATCGGCATCCTCTTCATAAACACCACTACCATTACCCCCATCTTCCCCATCATCATCATCACCACCACCATTACCGCCATCTTCACCATCATCATCATCCCCACCATCACCTTCATCATCGGCATCCTCTTCATAAACACCACTACCATTACCCCCATCTTCCCCATCATCATCATCACCACCACCATTACCGCCATCTTCACCATCATCATCATCCCCACCATCACCTTCATCATCGGCATCCTCTTCATAAACACCACTACCATTACCCCCATCTTCCCCATCATCATCATCACCACCACCATTACCGCCATCTTCACCATCATCATCATCCCCACCATCACCTTCATCATCGGCATCCTCTTCATAAACACCACTACCATTACCCCCATCTTCCCCATCATCATCATCACCACCACCATTACCGCCATCTTCACCATCATCATCATCCCCACCATCACCTTCATCATCGGCATCCTCTTCATAAACACCACTACCATTACCCCCATCTTCCCCATCATCATCATCACCACCACCATTACCGCCATCTTCACCATCATCATCATCCCCACCATCACCTTCATCATCGGCATCCTCTTCATAAACACCACTACCATTACCCCCATCTTCCCCATCATCATCATCACCACCACCATTACCGCCATCTTCACCATCATCATCATCCCCACCATCACCTTCATCATCGGCATCCTCTTCATAAACACCACTACCATTACCCCCATCTTCCCCATCATCATCATCACCACCACCATTACCGCCATCTTCACCATCATCATCATCCCCACCATCACCTTCATCATCGGCATCCTCTTCATAAACACCACTACCATTACCCCCATCTTCCCCATCATCATCATCACCACCACCATTACCGCCATCTTCACCATCATCATCATCCCCACCATCACCTTCATCATCGGCATCCTCTTCATAAACACCACTACCATTACCCCCATCTTCCCCATCATCATCATCACCACCACCATTACCGCCATCTTCACCATCATCATCATCCCCACCATCACCTTCATCATCGGCATCCTCTTCATAAACACCACTACCATTACCCCCATCTTCCCCATCATCATCATCACCCCCATCATTACCACCACCATCACCATCATCATCATCACCATCTTCATAACCATCACCACCATCACCACCATCATCACCACCACCACCATTACCGCCATCTTCACCATCATCATCATCACCATCACCATCATCATCACCACCATCATTACCACCACCATCACCATCATCATCATCACCATCTTCATAACCATCACCACCATCACCAGCATCACCACCATCATCAGCACCACCATCATCACCACCACCATCATCACCACCACCTTTACCATCATCACCACCATCACCTTCATCATCAGCATCCTCTTCATAAACATCACCACCATTACCGCCATCTTCACCATCATCATCATCACCACCACCATTACCACCACCATCATTACCACCACCATCACCGTCATCATCATCATCATCATCATCTTCATAACCATCATTACTACCACCATCTTTTTTTACATTTTTAATTTACAATTTAGTTATTTTTTATTATTTTTTATTGAAGAATAGTTGATTTACAATGTTGTATTAATTTCTGCTGTACAGCAAAGTGACTCAGTTATATACATGCATTTTAAAAATATTCTCCATTATGGTTTATCCCAGGAGGTTGGATATAGTTCCCTGTTCTATACAGTAGGATCTTGTTGTTTATCCATTCTGTATATAATAGTTTGCATCTGCTAATCCCAAACTCCCACTCCATCCCTCCCCCACTCCCCCTCCCCCTTGGCAACCACCAGTCTGTTCTCTATATCCATGAGTCTGTTTCTGTTTTGTAGGTACGTTCATTTGTGCCATACTTTAGATGCCACATATAAGTGGTATCATATGGTATTTGTCTCTCTTTCTGACTTACTTCATTTAGTATGGTAATCTCTAGTTGCATCCATGTTGCTGCAAGTGGCATTATTTTGTGTTTTTTTATGGCTGAGTAGTATTCCATTGTGTGTATGTATATATATATTTAGCACATCTTCTTTATCCATTCATCTGTCGATGGACACTCAGATTGCTTCCGTATCTTATATATATATATATATATATATATATATACCGCATCTTCTTTATCCATTCATCTGTCGATGGACGTTTAGGTTGTTTCCTTTTCTTGGCTATTGTGAATAGTGCTGCTGTGAACATAGGGGTGCATGTATCTTTTTGAATTACAGTTTTGTCTGGACACATGCCCAGGAGTAGGATTGCTGGATCATATGGTAACTTTGTTTTTAGTTTTGTGAGGAACCTCTATACTGTTTTCCATAGTGGCTGCACCAACTTACATTCCCACCAACAGTGCAAGAGGGTTCCCTTTTATCCACACCCTCTCCAGCATCTGTCATTTGTAGACTTTTTAATGATGGCCATTCTGATGGGTGTGAGGTGGTACCTCACTGTAGTTCTGATTTGCATTTCTCTAATAGTTAGCAGTGTTGAGCATTTTTTCATGTGCCTTTTGGCTAGTGTACGTCTTCTTTGGAGAAATGTCTACTTAGACCCTCTGCCCATTTTTGGATTGGGTTGTTTGTTTTTTTTGTTATTGAGTTGTGTGTGCTCTTTGTATATTTTGGAGATGATGCCCTTGTCGGTCGCATCATTTGCAGATATTTTCTCCCATTCTGTAGGTTGTCTTTTCATGTTTTTTTTTCTTTTATGGTTTCCTTTGTTGTGCAAAAGCTTGTAAGTTTGGTTAGGTCCCATTTATTTATTCTTGTTTTTATTTCTATTGCTTTGGGAGACCTAAGAAAACATTGATACAGTTTATGTCAGAGAATGTTTTGCCTATGTTCTCTTCTAGGAGTTTTATGGTGTCATGTCTTCTGTTTAAGTCTTTAAGCCATTTTGAGCTTATTTTTGTGCATGGTGTGAGGGTGTGTTCTAATTTCATTGATTTACCTGTGGCTGTCCAGTTTTCCTAGCACCACTTGCTGAAGAGACTGTCTTTTTCCCATTTTATATTCCTGCCTCCTTTGTCAAAGATTAATTGACCATAGGTGTGTGGGTTTATTTCTGGTCGATCTATTCTGTTCCATTGATCTGTGTGTCTCTTTTTGTACCAGTACCACATTGTTTTGATTACTGTAGCTTTGTAGTATTGTCTGAAGTCTGGGAGAGTTATGCCTCCTGCTTTCTTGTTTTTTTCCCCCCTCAGGATTGCTTTGGCAATTCTGGGTCTTTTATGGTTCCATATAACTTTTTGGATTATCCTAGTTCTGTGAAAAATGTCATGGGTAATTTGATGGGGATCACATTAAATCTGTAGATTGCTTTGGGTAGTTTTGTGATTTTTAACAATAGTCTTCCAATCCAAGAACATGAGATATCTTTCCATTTCCTTGAATCCTCTTTAATTTCCTGTATTAATGTTTTATAGTTCTCAGCATATAAGTCTTTCAGCTCCTTGGTCAGGTTTATTCCTAGGTTGTTTTTTTTTTTTTTTTTTTTTTTTTTTTTGGTGCAATTTTAAAAGGTATTGTTTTTTTGCATTCCCTTTCTGATGTTTCACTCTTAGTGTAAAGAAATGCAACCGATTTCCGAATGTTAATCTTGTATCCTGCTACTTTACTGAATTCCTTTATTAGATCTAGTAGTTTTTCTGTGGAGTCCTTAGGGCTTTCTATTTATCGTATCATGTCATCTGCATATAGTGACAACTCTACCTCTTCCCTCCCAATTTGGATACCTTTTATTTCTTTTTCTTGTCTGATTGCTGGGGCTATGACTTCCAATACTATGTTGAACAGAAGTGACCCAGCACCATCTTTCTCATTATCATCACCATCACCACCACCATCATCATCATCATCATCATCATCATCATCATCATCATCATCATCATAGCAGCTACTGTATGAGTATTTGCTATGTGACAAGCACAGTGCTGAGCATTTTATATAATTTTTTCATTCAATCCTTACTACAGTGTTATGAGATAGCTACTACAGTGATTTCTGTTGTGGTGTGGAGGTCACAGTACTAGTCATTGGTGAAGCCGGGGCTCAAACCTTGGTCTGTCGAGTCCATACCCCTGCCTTCATGCTGGAGCCCTGTGATACCCCCATCCCAGTGCAGAGACACTGACCCTAGATGTCCCCCCACCCCTGTACCAGATCTCCACCCACGATCCCTCCCCAACTCCTTTACCCTCTGTGCCCCTTCCTTTCCCGCCACAGGTGTATGAGGGTGGGAGCAATGTGGACCAGTTTGTGACACGCTTCCTCCTGAAGGAGACAGCCAATCAGATCCAGTCCCTGCTGAGCTCGGTGGAGAGTGCGGTGGAAGCCATCGAAGAGCAGACCAGCCAGATCCGGTGCGTTGATGGGACCTTGTGGGGGCCTGTGGGAATGGGCCGTGTGTGTGCTGACCTGCTGCCTGGTGGGGACGTTCGTGTGCTTGGGGGCTGGGTGACCTTGGGCAAGCTGCTGTTCCCCTGTGTGCCTCCACTTCCCCAGCTCTTTAAGTGGGGACGATTATATACCTGCCTCCTCACAGAGTTCTGACTAGTTCCTAGACTCTGATCAATTTGGCCACATTTCCATATTGCTCACCTTATTGTTTAGCTAAAACTATTCTATTGTTTGACTCATTTTTTAAAACCTGGGAATAAATTTAGGAAACTCTGGTGACTATTACCATCATTCAAAAACAAGTATCACATGCTGTGAGTGAAGAAATTGTAAAACTAAGCGCTGTTGGTGCCCGCAGTCAGCATGGACCCTGAGGCCCGCTCCCTCTTTGTTCAAAAAGAGAGGCTGTGAGATTGTAGATGGGCATTGAAAACAGAGGAGCATCAAAGCGTGACCTCAGAAAGGTTGAAAGAGCCGTGAAATGGAGTGTTTTTCTCCCAATATTAGTTAGTGTGATTTAAAGCCTTGTTTGTGGGTCCTTGAAGCCGTGGAAAAGTACCTGGTGTCCCCCCTCTTTGCAGGGGGACACTGTTGGGGCGGTGAGATGGGGGTCCAGAGAGTTAGCAGCCTCCTTCCGGCCTGGCAGGGCCAGGCCCTGGGGGCCACGAGCCCTCCCATTTGCTGTCCCAAGTTCCAGCCAACTCCTCTGTGCCCGTTCTTCCCTGAAGAGCTGATGTGCAAAGGGTAAATAAAGAAATAGAAACAGGCGGGGGCAGCTGCCAGATGCCCAAGCGTTACTGAGCCTTGAGTCTCTGCCGCGGTTTTCCAGGCAGAGACCCGGCACAGCAGGGTGCTGGGCCTGGGGGTTTGTGTTTTTTTGGTTGGTGGCGGGCTTGTCCCAGTCAGATATGACTGCAAAGGCTGCTCAGTGATGCTGTTCGCAAAATGCCTTTGCTCTGAGCACCTGCAGCCCGGTCACCTAGGATATGCACAGTGCAGATTCCTGGGCTCCGGCCATGCCAGCTGGATTAGGGTCCCTGGGAGCTGAGCCCAGGACTCTGCATAGCTGGTCAGTCTTGTGATTCTGAGGGTTCCCAAGGTTAACAGCCTCAGCTCTGGAAGTTGTCACGTAGATTTTCTTCATTTTTTTTTTTTTTTTTATCACTATCTTGATTTTAAAACCTGCGGTTTCGATCCTGCTGCAGAACAGATAGGACCGCTGCGTGATTTTCAGAGCCGATATCCTCCGCTTTGCCAGTTCCGTCACGTGTCAGCCGTTACACCTGCCTGCCCCCTTTCTGGAAGCTTACTTTGGGATGTTGTTGGCAGGGGTGGCACATCGCGATGGGGAGACACATCTGCCTCACAGGCACTGCCACCTCAAACCGCCCAAATCTCAGCTGTTTCGGCTCTCAGCTGCAGGTCCCCTGAGCATCCTCTTTCCCAGGCCTGGGGACGTCGTGACCCAGGCACGAGCCACTGGTTCAGACCCTGCCGCCCTTGGGGGACTCCCACTGGTCCCACTCGTGGTCTGAGTTTGTTGAGGCTCCACGACTGACACCTCAAGGAATCTGCCAGCCTTTCTCCTCGCTTGCGGGGGGGTGGTTGGCCCCTCTGCACGGGGAGAGGCTGCTGGGCTTTCAGGCTCACAAGAGGCAAATTCCAGAACATTACCAAGGTAGCCCTGGGGACCAGGCGTGTCCGCCGTGCACACAGGAGTGTGTGTGTGTGTTGGGGGATATGTGCGTCTGGCTGTATTTTTATGTCTGTGGTGAGTTTTCCAGCATTTTTGCACATGGGGGTTTGGGCATTTGTTGAGTCGCTGCTGCGTGCCAGGCACAGTGTTTGGTGGGCTGTGTGTGCACATAACGTAGTGTGCGTGGCGGGTGGTGTCATGACAGGGGATGGGGCCAGGCTGAGGTCAGGATCACGGATCTTTGTCTTTCAGATGCCCGCTCTCGACTGTGTCTTAGGGCTTCCTTTTTTGGACAGGGGGCTTGTTAGCCAACTCAGGCCCCTTCCCCAGAGGGCAGTGAACGCTGAATCGGCTCCCAGCGAGGCCGGCAGGGCCGGGGAGAGGGGCAGCCGTGGGCTGCGGGGAGGCTGGGGGCCTGACTCAGCCTCGCCCGGCCCTGGAACTAAACCTCCCGGGAACAGGGTCTGGGTTCCTGGAAAGGATCTGAGTTCAGATCCCACCCCGGCCCCGCTTGCAGCGTGGCCTTGGCCGGTGGGCCTTGTGTCCCCCTCTGTAAAACAAAGGCCACGATGTTCACTTCACAGGGACGGGGCTCCACGGAGTGAGTTCTGTGCACGTTTCAGCCCCCAGTTGGTGCTTAATGTTTGTCGAAGCTGCCACAAGCGACCAGAGCCCTGCAGCCCCCCTCATAGTGTGTGTTGCCCCACTCCTCTGCAGACAGAACCACAGCAAACCCAGCCACAGCGTGGTGGAGACCTGGTCTGGGAGCTCCACTCCCGTCTACGCCCACAACCACAAGCTCACGGCCGTGGAGCAAGGGAAGAGCTTCCCGCTTGGTGAGCGAGCAGTGGCCCAGAGTTGGGGCCACTGGCTGGCGGGTCCTGGGGGGAATTCTGAGAGTGGTCCACATGGGGCCTGGGCCTCCCATGGGGACCGAGCCTGGGAGGGCTGGGGGCAGGTCTCAGCCCCGGGGCAGGGCCGGGAGCTCCCCTCCACCTTAGGCCTGGCCCTGCGCCTCCTGCCCCCATCAGCATCTCTGTTCTTCTTTCCCAGCCCCCTCAGACTCCAGGGAGGAGGGCCTGGAAGCCCAGATCAGCAGGTTGGCGGGGCTGATAGGACGGCTGGAGAGCAAGGTGAGCCCACTGAGCCCTCGCCTCTGTCCCTGCATCCACCCTCCGCCCTCCCAGCCCTCAGGGAATGCAGGGAGGCCAGAGCTCGAGACAGAAGTCAGGAAGCCTTGGAAAGGACACTCCCCAGGTGGAGTGCGGACTAAGGCTGGATGCTGGGAACGGGTCTATTGTATAGGAGGAGCTGTGGAGGGTGGGCGGGCAGCCAGGAGGGGCGTCTCGAGGAACAGAAAGTAGTTGGCAGGGTCACGGGCAGCAAGGGAACAGAGCTTCAAGGAGGCGTTAAGGGCAGGTGGTAGCTTAGAGCCAGCTAGGTGGTGGGTGAGGGATGGTGACGTCCCAGGAGAGATTAGGATGACCGGCAGCGTGAAGTCTTAAATGTGACATGACACATCCACAAGTGATGCAAAGTGGCACAGCCTTTATGGGATCGTGTTTTCGGAGAACATTTCACGGCTCGGTAGGCACTCAGGATACGATTGTGTTCGCTTTGCAGGGCTGCCAGAAGTGGGGCTTAAACCCCAGCATTTATTCTCTCAAATCAGGGTGTTGGCGGGGCTGGTTTCTTCTGAAGCCTCTCTCGTTGGCGTGTAGACGGCCGTCTTCTCCCTGGGTCTGTGTGTGTCTGTGTCCTGATCTCTTCTTATAAGGACACCAGTCATATTGGATTAGAGCCCAACCATGTGACCTTATTCGAACTTAATCACCTATCCAAAGGTCCTGTCTCCAGATATAGTCACGTTTTGCGGTACTGGGGATTGGGACTTCAACATATGAATTTGGGGGGAACACAGTTCAGCCCATAACGATGACCATTCGTTGGAAGAAAGAAAATAATTTGCCTTAAAGTTTACCAACAGGCTCCAGTATCGGACTGCCTGTATTTGAATCCTGGCTATACCACTTAACAGCTGTATGACCTTGGACCAGTGACTTACCCTCTCTGAGCCTCAGAGTTCTCTAACCACAGAGAAAATAATCACAGTGGCACCTCTCACAGGGTCATTGTGAGGATTCAATAAAATGATATCTTAATGGCTTAGCACAGAGCCTGCTGCACAGTTAGCATTTAATATTAGCAGTGTTATTTAGCAGTTATTATTAGACATTCTGATGCCAGAACCTATACACACACCATACCTGTATATCAACATAAACCAAGATAGCAGGCATCTCCAGGCTGTAGGGTTGCAGTGGCAAGTTTACAATTTTCTTACTTCTCTGATTTTTTTTTATATCTTTTGCAAAAGGGCAAAAGAAAACTAGTGCTTTGATGGGTTTGTGGGTTAGTTCTGAGGGATTCGTGCGGGCAGTGGGTGGGGCTCCCCAGGAGGAGGTGAGGCGGAGCCTCGGAGAGGAGTTCGAGGGAGGAGGCGGCCAATCCCCCCTGCAGGTCTGGAGCCGAGGTGGGATCTCGATCCCCCCCCACCCGGCCCCCCCACCTCCAGCTAAAGCCGGCTCCTGGGTGGGAGCGGTGGGAAAGGCTCGGCGGGGACCCTGAGGCCCGGTTGTCATAACAACTCTGCTGGCGCCCCCGGGGGAGGCTCTTTGAAGCTTATTTTTAGCGCCCCAGTCGCCTTAACAACCGGCTGGCTGGAAACCAAGGACCCGGGGCGGGGGTGGGGGGGGGGGGGGCCTCTTGCCAGCCTCTGATTGGCCTGAGCTGCGAGCAGGGGCCAATCCGGGACCTGCTCTGGACCCCGCCCTCCAAGGGCCAGCCTGAGCGCTCCTAGCTGTGCCTGGGCTCCTGGAACGCTGGGACGGGCGAGCGAGGCAGGGAGACGGGGCGGGGGCGCAGACGTGGGTGCCGCCGCCCCTCCTCCACCCTCCCCTCATCTTTACCTCATCCTCACCCTCACTGCCGCGGGGCCCAGCTGGCCAGGAGAAACCTAGGGAACCAGTTGCAGCCCCTGCTCTCCAGGAGCCCATCTACACGGTTTTAAAACCATGGAAAGAGACTTGCCCTGCCAGGCAGACCTTGGCCACCTACAAACGCCTACATGCACACCCTATGTCCCCGGAAAGTCAGTACCCTCTCTGGGACCGGCTGTGTAATGTATGGGGCCCCTTGTTCCAACAGTATTAAGAATGTCCAGGTGGTGACTGCATGGGTCATGGTCCTGCACATCGGCCACTCTCTCTGTTTTCCTTAACAGCCAGCTGATGCGCCTCACTCACGTGCTTGTGTAGAGAAGAAAGACCTGGGTGCGGGATTGCGCCAGGGACACGGGCTGTCCTCGTGGGGGATGGGCAGGGATGGGCACAGGGGGGGCCTTTATTGGGTGCCCAAGACAAGGGAAGAAGGGTCCTGATTCCATGGATCAGGAGAGAGGCTTGGCCTCAAACTCAGACTCTGACCCTGGACCAGCTTCTGTGGCCTCTGGGTTCTCTGCTCTGCCATACTGGTGCTGGGCACCATTACAGACACAAGCACGGGGCCAGGAGCAGAGTGCACGGGCTTCCTGCTTTCCTAGAGCTCACAGTAGGGCAGCCGCGACCTCGGGGAGTCTGGCAAGTTACATAAGATTTGGTATAGAGGGTTTAGCCCCCAGGGCCGGTGGAAGGCCAGCGAGCACAGACCACCTCATTCAGGCCGTTATATTCATGAGGCGCCAGGGGCTGTGACTGGGGGCGACGTGTAAGTTGTCGGGGAACCTGTTGCCAGCAAGGCTGTCGGCGGAAGTTGTGACAAAACCCCAGCGTCCTGGGTTCAGCACAGTGGAGCCTCCTTCGTGTTCCCTGCAATTGGCGTGCTTGGCCTCTGTGGCTCCAGTGCCCCCTAGATGCCACGGCCAGAAGGGACCTGTGCCACTTCCTGTGGTTGGCCTTCCAGCCTGGCTTCCCGGCTCCTCTCTTGAGCCAGCACTGTGCCTGGAGGGTGGGCTGAGCCCTGCCCAGAGAGGCCTGGCCCTGGGAGCTCCCACCCGCTCGGGGACTCCAGAGCCTCTGGAACCGTGGGGTGGAGGGGCTGGAGCTCTTCGGTGGCCCTGGGTGCTCAGGTGTCACTGTGGTGGTCCTGGGAGCCTCCCTAGCAGAGGTAGCCTCTGTCTCTGGCATCTCTTCACGCTTTGTTGTCGCAGACCCTTTGGTTTGACCTCCAGCAGCATCTCTCGGATGAAGAAAGCACCAACATGGTGAGGACCCCTCTCCCGTGGCCCCATCCCTGCCTGAGCCAGGCCTCAAGATGCAGGTGGCTTAGTGTCCCTGACACCTCTACCCTGGGACCACCACAAGGGGAGACGCAGCCCCAGCACTTGGCCACCCTCCCCTCCCATGAGCATTCTTAGAGGCTCCAGGGCTGTGGTCAGTGCGGCCTGGAGCAACGTAATCAGCAGGACAGTGACGTCAAAATGCTGATTCAATCAGAAACAATTTTGCTGGTCACTCATTTTGTTGTGTCCTGGACCCGAAGCCTTGCAGGCAGCTCCCAGTCTCTCTAGAGCCTCTTTAAACGTCCCTGTCTGTTTTTTCAGCACTTGGGGGACCACTTCCTGCATTTGGCTTCTTAAGTTTAGCTCATTTTTTGCCAGTTTCCACGTGTAAGAATGAAAAGTGTTTGTGGGGGGGCGGGGGAGTGGGTCGGTTTTATTCTGAAGTTATCCTATCCTGGGGAGGCGGGCTCCTGGGCTGGGCGGGGTCCCGGAGGAAGCGGGCTGCCAGGGAGCCCGCAGGGTGGCTCACACTGGTCCTGTGGCCCCGGAGCATCTGCAGCTGGTCCGGCAGGAGATGGCCGTGTGCCCTGAGCAGCTGGCCGAGTTCCTGGACTCCCTGCGTCAGTACCTGAGGGGCACCGCCAGAGCCAGGAACTGCTTCCAGTGAGTAAGCCGCGGGGCGCGGTGGTGGCCGGGAGCTCTGTCTGGGGTGGAGGCACAGGGCAGGACCGGCCTCACCCCTGAGAACACACCGGACCCCAGGGAAGCCCCCTAGCGGGGTGGTTACAAGAGCTGGGTTCAGGTCCTAGCTCGGGCTCTTCCTTGCTGTGCAAACGTGCCAACTGACTTAATCTCGCGGACCTCAGCTTACTCATCTGTAAAGTGGGTCCACTGCCCAGACCCGCTCCTTGGTGGGGTTGGAGGCGTCAGTGGAATAATGACCGTGGCGGGTACAGGCCAGTGCCTGGCACCCAGCGCCCACTCAGCGTTAGCCACCATGGTTGCTGCTGTGGCTGCCCCTCGGGGGCCTCACCCTCTGGTCCCTGCTGCCAAGGCCTGCATCCTTGCTGGGGGTGGTTCCAGAGGGCCGTTGGCGCAAGCTGCCGGGCTGTCTCCTGTCTGTGGCCCACCCGTCGGTGCCCAGTGGACAGTAGCTGTAGGCTCCGTGCCTGTTCCCTGCCTCGAGTCTCTCCCTCCCCGGTTGCTTTTTTCCTACCTCAAGAGCATATGTGCCTCCACCTGCTTCCCGGTGAAGCAGGTGGGCCAGGCCTGGGGGTACAGCGTGACTCAGCTGCTGTTGCTGCACGTTAATTCCAGGTGGTGGGAGAGAGCAGGTGAAGAAAGATGATTCCGGTTGGCGGTGGGCGCTGTGCAGGCTTTGGGGAGGGGCTGCATGTGTGCTGAGGCTGAGTGATGAGCGGCGCCGCCCGCAGAATCCGAGGCCCAGCACAGGCTCGTGCCCAGACCTGGCGTGGCAGTGAGGGTGCCGTGTTTGAGAAAAAGCAAGCAGCTGCTGTGGCTCGACAGAGTGACCCAGGAGTGGGTGGGTCAGAGGGCCAGAGAGGCAGGCAGGCCCTGCTTGTTCCGGGGACCAGGGACCGTGGGGGAGAGATGCTTAGGCAGGAGGGAGACTCAGTCTCGCCTCCCTTGTGTAAGAAGGGGTGGCAACAGGCGTGCAACTGGCGGCCAGGGGGAGTCTCAGATTCTTCAGCTTCAGGAACTTGATGGAGGACGGGGCCACAGGCTGAGCTGGAGAAGCCGGAAGGTCAGGCGCGTGGGTGCGGGGAGTCGCACAGGCTTTTTGCGCCACGTTAAGTTCCAAATGCCCCTCGAGGTGCCGCTGTACAAGTGGGGAGACCCGGGGGGGGGGGGGGGCATGCAGGGGTCACCTGGAGCCACGGGGGCCTGGGGCTGGGAAGGGCCGGGGGGGGGCAGCACCCC